CGACAACGATCGTGTTCAACACGACGACCGTCGTGTTTGACACGACGACCAGTGTGTCGGACACGACAACGATCGTGTTCAACACGACGACCATCGTGTTCAACACGACGACGACCGTGTCAACCATCGTGTTCAACACGACGACGACTGGGGTGAAAGTGTTTGAGAAAACTTGTTGACGTCACCGATAAACCAGCACTGGACACGGAGGCTTTTCTCTTTCTCTCGCGGGGTTGGGGGGGGGGGGAAGGGGGCCGTGTTGGCCGTAGCGGCACTAACCTGGAGAGCGGGGCAGTTGTCGTGTCGACGTTGGCGGATGGCTGCGCTAATTCTCCTAGAACGCGAACGATGACACAATGTTGAGGGAGCTCATGTGCGCGAATCGCATTTCTGCTCTGCAGCTGAACGTCATCCCCGCGCCTCCGCTCCGGCCAAGGGGGGAAAACAATCGCGACTGTATTCCCGGATCGGACCGTCCGTATTCCCGGATCGGACGGCCAGCAGGCGCGCGCGGAGGGCCCACCCGGAAAACCACTTATATGAGGAAGGCCCACCACTCCCCATCGAAAAATCCCGACCGTCAGTATTCCCGGATCGGACGACCAGTAGGTGCTCGCGAAGGGCCCTCCCGAAAAACTATATATATGAGGGAGGGCGTTCCCATTTTCGTTTCAGTTCGGCAAGGCAGCAGTAGAGCAGCGCAGCGGAGGTTCGTCGACGCAGCGCAGCGGAGGCTCGTGCCACAGCGCAGCGCAGTGGAGGCTCGTGTACAGCGCGGCAACGGAGTGCAGGGATTCGGTCCGTGCATAGCCGACCACCTGCTCGACACGACGGTGGACCACAACGCTGTCGAGAGGCGTGTTCAGCGTGACGACATAGCAAGCATACGGCCCGAGATCACGACGCACAACCATAGCGGAGCACCCCGAGTTTGAAGGATCGGACGGTGAGGACACAACCACGCAGCCCAGATTCAACCATGTAACGCCACATGGCACTTCCGGTCGTCGAGTCGAACACGATGGTGCCACATCGTCGAGTCGAACACGATCGCACCCGATCGTCGAGTCCAATACGATCGTCTCCGATCGTCGTGTCGAACACGATCGTGCCCGATCGTCGAGTTGAACACGACAGTGCCCGACACGTACACGGTCGTGCCCGATGTCTGATTGTCGAGTCGAACACGACAGTTGAGTCGAACGCGCTCATCGAGTCGAACACGACACTGCCCGATCGTCGAGTCGAACACAATAGTCGACCTGAACACAACCGTCAAGTCGAACACGATACTGCCCAATCGTCGAGTCGAGCAGGATAGTCGAGCCGAACACGACACTGCCCGATCGTCGAGTCGAACACGATAGCCGAGTCGAACACGACACTGCCCGATCGTCGATTCGAACACGATAGTCGAGTCGAACACGACACTGCCCAATCATCGAGTCGAATATGATCGTCGATTGCGTTTGTCGAGTCGAACACGACAGTCGAACACGATCGTCGAGTCGAACACGTTCGTCGAGTCGAAGACGATCGTCGAGTCGAACACGATCGTCGAGTCGGACACGATCGTCGAGTCGAACACGTTCGTCGAGTAGAACACGACCGTCGAGTCGAACACAATCGTCGACTGCGTTTGTCGAGTCAACACGTTCGTCGAGTGCCCTGTCGAGTCGAACACGTTCGTCGAGTGCCCTGTCGAGTCGAACACGTCGAGTCGAACACGATCGTCGAGTCGAACACGTTCGTCGAGTCGAACAGGATCGTCGAGTCGGACACGATCGTCGAGTCGAACACGATCGTCGACTGCGTTTGTCGAGTCGAACACGTTCGTCGCGTCGAACACGTTCGTCGAGTGCCCTGTCGAGTCGAACACGTTCGTCAAACACGTCGAGTCGAACACGATCGTCGAGTCGAACACGTTCGTCGAGTCGAACACGACCGTCGAGTCGGACACGATCGTCGAGTCGAACACGACCGTCGAGTGGAACACGATCGTCGACTGCGTTTGTCGAGTCGAACACGTTTGTCGCGTCGAACACGTTCGTCGAGTGCCCTGTCGAGTCGAACACGTCGAGTCGAACACGTCGAGTCGAACACGTCGAGTCGAACACGTTTGTCGAGTCGAACACGATCGTCGAGCCGGACACGATCGTCGAGTCGAACACGATCGTCAAGTCGAGCACGATTGTCGTGTCGAACACGTTCGTCGAGTCGAACACGATCGTCGAGTCGAACATGATCGTTGAGTCGAACACGTTCGTTGAGTCGAACACGAATGTCGAGTCGGACACAATGGTCAGGTCGAACACGATCGTCGAGTCAAACACGATCGTTGAGTCGAACACGACCGTCGAGTCGAACACGATCGTCGACTGCGTTTGTCGAGTCGAACACGTTCGTCGAGTGCCCTGTTGTCGTGTCGAACACGATCGTCGACTCTAGCACGATAGTCAAGTCGAACATGATAGTCGAACACGATCGTCGAGTCTAGCACGATAGTTGAGTCGAACACGATAGTCGAGTCGAACACGATCGTCAAGTCGGACACGATTGTCGAGTCGGACACGATCGTCGAATCGATCACGATCGTCGTGTCGAACACGATAGGCGAGTGCCCTGTCGTTGAGTCGAACACGATTTTTCCCTGTCCTCTAGTGGAACGAGAATGTGCGCAGTGCAATGTCATCGAATCGTTTATGATTGTGTGCAGTGCTATGGACCGTGCATGGGCTTGGATTGCGCTCAAAGATTTTGTGCATTGTGCTATCGTGCGGCCTGGTTTGTTCCATTCTTGGTGGGAGCGGGGTGAATAGTTCTATGCTGCTCTTGGTTGTTCTATTGCTGCTGTTGACCGTTGCCCTTGTGTCGTGCAGGGCGTCTTCTCTTCACTGTTGCTATGGAGATCTCTAATATGACCCCAACACTTTGGCGTGCACGCAAGGCACACCCTTTCCCACCTTGCGCGGTGTACATCCGGCAATGTCAGGGTAGTATAACCTATGAAGGCACTTGTCCAGAAGACTTCGAATGCGACCCTTGGATGAGAATCCTCCCGTTTGGCGACAAACATTTGGACTCGTGGGAGGAGTGCGAGTGGGTGAACATGATGGAGAGATGCCCTTGGGCGTGCGATTATGAGTTCGCGAATATGTCCGAATTCGGCAAACGCATCCCCGTGCCGTTCGATGTGCTGCGTCCCGTGCGCTTGCCGCTACTGTGTAAAAAACTAAAAATAAGCCGTGTTGTGGGGGTTTTAGACTGCGAATACGTGACAACCTCGCCTCGCACCTGGTGCCGTGTTATGAAACAGGAGTTACTCGGTTGTGCGCAACATTCTCAGTTCATCGATCATTATCCGTTGCGATCTCCCGGTCTTTCGCCAGGAGCAGTTTCGTATTGTTGTGTGAGATTGCGTCTGCCATACTTTATCTTCTGTAGGGTCCTCTGTATTGTCGTTTCAAGCAGGGCAAGAAACTTGACCGATGCTGTCGTGTATGTGTCCAGGAACGAGTTGTCTATGTCAGAGAGGGATATGTGTTTAGTTCAAAGAAGGGTAGATGGGAGACTGGATATCGTGGTGGGTGGCCAGGTGGAGGACGTTGTCGCATGGCGCGAGGTCGAGGCTAAAGTCGTTTCAATTCGGGATGCTATGGGCGCTTCTCTCGTCGGGAACTCCGGGTTCGTGCGAATGACATACATTTCGGTGTTTGTTGAGACGGCGCAGCAGCTGACCTTCGGATCGCCGATTAGCGTGATGAATGGCCGCAACGGCGAGATTGTTCCTCGTGGTCGGTAGATAACCTTCATCATACTGGATGGCCAAAACGGCATACTGAATGGCCGAAATGGCCGCAACGGCGAGATTGTTTCCCGTAGTCGATAGACAGCCTCGTGGAACTCGCATTGCGATTGTTGTTCTCAATGTGTTATTTCGATAACAATACACGGTATCTGCCAGTTGTTCTCGATTGCTGTTCTCAATGTGTTATTCGATAACAATACGCGGTATCTGCTAGTTGTTCATCATGTGTTCAGTGGCCAAAAGTACACACGTTTGACATTGTTGTCCTCATATTGTTTTCCGATTCATTGAAACCCGGGAATGATGACGTGTTTTTGGTCGGCTTTGGACACCGAAACATCGCTGCCAGCCGAGTGTTTGATTGTTGTTCTCATGTTGTGTTTCCTTTCGGGAAACAAAAACTCATTGTTCTGATGTTTTGCGGGCACAAACATTCAGCACTCAATGTTTCTCCGTGTTAACCAGTGTCTGCGATCTGTTGTCTTATGTTCTCGTGATCAAGTGCCCCTTTAGGCACCGTCCAACGAACATTGTGTCGAACCCGGCAAATGTCGCACAACACACCCCAGTGTCGTTGTCGTGTTCGACACGATGGTCGCCAGATGGTGCCCGATGGGGCACTTGGTCGACTGTCGAACGGCGGACGACACTGTCGCTGTCGTGTCGAACACGACTGTCAGCTCCACTACAGGCACCGTTTTGCGACCATCATGTCGAACACGACGTGGACACTGTTATCTGGCGACCAGACGGTGCATGAAGGGCCGCTTGGTCGACTGTCGCACGTCAGACAACAGTGTAGCTGTCGTGTCCGACACGACGGTTGGTCAGCCCGCGCAGTGCCGTCGGGTTCGACACGACAGTGACACGACGACACCCCAATGTCGCTCTCGTGTCAGATTCAAGACGGCGCCCGAAGGGGCACTTGGTCGACTGTCGAACGGCGGACGACAGTGTCGCTGTCGTGTCGAACACGACGGTCAGCTCCCTTAAAGGCACCGTTTGGCGACCATCGTGTCGAACACGACATGGACACTGTTATCTGTCGACCAGACGGTGCATGAAGGGCCGCTTGGTCGACTGTCGCACGGCAGACAACAGTGTAGCTGTCGTGTCCAACACGACGGTTGGTCAGCCCGCGCAGTGCCGTCAGGTTCGACACGACAGTGACACGACGATACTGCAATGTCGCTCTCATGTCGGATTCGACGGTACTGGAGGACGTCGTGGCACGGCAGTCGAGTTCAACACGACAGTGAAACGACGACGAGCTGGCGGGCTGCGGCCCGATTCAGTTGCTCTGTGTTCCTGTCTACTCTTGTTCTCAAATGCTGTGGTGTTTGCACGTTGGCAAAGCAATGACTGCTTTCTCGCTTGTGCATTTTCTTCAGTTGCGACTAGCTGCTCGGCATGGATCGCGAGGGGAAGCCAAGCAAACGACGTACTTGTGCTGGTTCCGGGAGCATGGAGCAGTCTCCGAAAAAAACGAAGGGGACACCGACGGCTGGCGTGGGGGCTGGCGACACATCGGAGTCTAAGGGCCACCGAACCCCGGTGCCGCGGGGTGCACCTTCTACGGGCACTCTTTCCGCCCATGTTCGAGGTTCGGGACCGGATTCTGCTGTGCTGATGAGTGGTGGGGCTGCGGGTCGAGAAGAGGAGGCTACTGGTCGGCAGGGGAAATCTGCGATGGACGTTGTGTCGAGGCGTAAAAGGTCTGGTGACACGTCCGCTGCAGGTGTGGGAGACGAGGTGCCTGTCGTCGACCACGAAGACAAGTGTTGGATGTTGGACTGGGTGGGTGGAATAGGGGAACCCTCGGGTGGGCTGGTTTTGTACGTGGTGATCAAAGATAACATTGTTCCGATTGGCGGTGTGGTGAAGTGGAGTGGAGGAAATTCACAGTTCGCCATGTTGGAGTTGACGATGGTCCTTAACGCTAGAGGTGAGTGGATTGCAAATGTCAAACGCGTTGCTCTTCGTTAGGCCAAACACACTGGGTACGACAAAAGGCTTTATGACATTTTCAATCCGCCTGGGACGGAGAAATTGACGTTGCCGGACCTTCGATCGGTTTTCGCATTCTTCGACAGACATGTGGTCGTAGGGCATGAGCCGGTGGTGCATGCTTCCGACCGCATATCTAAACCGAAAAGCGTGCTTTCGTCGTCTTTGAAGGCGGGTCTGTCGTCGAAACCGATCATTATAGGTGTCCGCCCTCCGCCATCAATTCGGACTACGGTTGCTGCAACACGAGTTCCGAAATCGGGGCAGATCGGGGAGAAAGGTCCGTCTCGCGGCCAAATCGTGTCGTCAGCCCCTGTGAAGCGTAGACCAACATCGACCAAGGAACCCGTTTCCTTGGTCCGCCCGCCGCGCTATGAGTTGGCCATTCCTGCTGGGTCACATTATTTTGGAGATGACGACGAGGAGAACAGCGAAGAAGAATGAGAGCGCGATGAAGAACGTGAAGAATGTGAGGAGGGTGGCAAAGAAGGGGAAGTAGAGAGTGAACAAACAATCAGCAAGAGGGGTGGGCCGAGCGAGTTGGAGGGTCGTCTAGGGGTTGAGTATGAGGACGAAGAGCAAGAAGAGGAAACGCCCGGCGAGGGAGGGTATGCAGATGTGCATCGGGGTTCCAAACGAACGCAGCTGCTCGCGTCGGGTCATGGGCATTGGAAGCGGATCCAGGGCGCGGGGAAATGCACCGCGAAGTTGGGGTCGAGCCGGCGCATGACGATGCAGTACGACTAGCTGAGAAGAAAAGGAAGATGAGGCAAGAGAGGAGAAGTGTTATGGACAGTAAGAAAACCAAGCAGGAGGGGGGAGCCAAGCAAGAGGAGGGCAAACGCAAGTTGAAAATGCTGGCAGTTGAGGAGGTCGTCCAACGTACGCGGGAGGCTGAGGAGGCCATAAAGAAAAAATGGCATCCAAGGAAAAAAGCAGCGAAGGGAGGTGTGATGGAAAAAACTTCCGTTTTTCCACCGGACCAGCCACAGTCGGATGAAGACGTTGTGGGCAAGGCAGTCACCAGACCGCCCGGTTTGCAGATTCTGCCGCATGGGAATTCTGGTCATCTGAGCAAAGACTTCTTCCTTAAGTTCGACGAGAATGGTAACCAGAGGTCGGAAATGCAGTTCATTTATGTCAAGTTGGACAGGATTCTGGATATCCCTGATGAGGAATTCAGATACAATCAACGCTTCCTCGATCAGGAGCTTATTGATAACCTTTACAAAACAATGGTTGAGTCGGGTGAGGCAGCTATCAGAGAGAGAACGACCGGGGCAGCCGGGGTGAATGTATGTGCATTGTACAAGAAGCATGTCCTTCTGTTGATTGGGCTATATGATACAATGCATATTGACGCTTCCGGTACGAATGTGATGGCGAGAAGAGTGACGCCCCGCGAATTCGATCTCCAATCCGTGCGCAAGCACTACTGGTACTCTCTCAGTGGTCAACACAATGTTGCAGCGTC